TTGACAGTTGGGCACAGGGATAGGAAGCATGGCAGAGGGAAGGCAGTTAGCATTAATATGATGGCTAGATGGGGGGCCAGGGGAGGGAGGGAGCAAATGGGGGATCGTTTTATGAACTATATAGATGTCTAACCAATGTACTGTATACTTGGAACTAATTTAAATAAATTTAAAAAATATATATATATTACTCTGCCCACCCCCATCCACAGTAAAGGTCTAGGAAAACAACATGCCTATTTCCAGATTAAAAAAAAAACTGTTTACCTCAGTCTATTTTGTTCTATATGTAATGTTCAGCATTCAAGCAAAAATTACTAGACACACAGAAAAGCAAAAAAATAAAAATCCATTATTAAGAGACAGAACAAGATAAGCTCACCTGCTTAGACAGTCTGAGACTAATGAGGAAAGGTATGGAGTTTGATCATCTGACAAATGGATTATCTTCACTTTGTTTTTAGCCACTGACTATACTTAGCTTTATAGCTGAAGATACTGCAAATCCACTCCACTGACAGTAGACTATCTTCATACATATAGTGTCACACATTCATTTATTTAACTATTACAAAACTAAGGTACTAACAGTATAGTGGTCACCAGAGGGAAAGGGGGGTGCAGGGAAGAGAGTAAAGGGGGTCAAATATATGGTAACAGAAGGTGACTAAACTTTGGGTGGTGAGCATATAATGCAACATACAGATTATGTGTTATAAAATACTATACCTGAAACTTACATAGTGTTATTAACAAATGTCACCCCAATAAATTGAATTTTAAAAAAACTAAGATCCTAGTGTTTTTACCAATTGAGAATTTAGAGTAAGAAGAGATTAGGTGCTTGCTTCCTTCTATTCATGTGCTGAGACAAATGTAGAACAAGTCTTACCTTCCAATTTACATAGTCTCACTCAACTTACAGAGTTTCACTCAAGCTAAATTATCCTTCTGCTTTTATGCTGACAGTAATAAACCTTAATTTACAGTCTAATGTTCTTGCTATTCCATTATACTATCTATACTACTGAAATTAATACTTTCACCAAGAATAACCTCTCAATGACATGTTGATATCTTACCTATAATTCTTTTGAGCTGGTCAGGAGAAATGTTTAGAAGAATCTTCTCTATCAGCTTTGATCCTACATGGATGCAAACTTTATATATTCCATCAACTATGGTCATTAAAGCTGGCCTATAAGAGAGTAAATAGCACATGACCTTCAAAAAATTTTCAAACTTTAAAAAATGTTTAAATGCAATAAATCAGAAAGCACTGGGTTTTTATGCAGGGTTAATTTTAACTTCTAAAGCAACTCCAGGATGCTCTGAAATACCCTAGAAATAAGAGAAGGGTTTTTTAAAGAGTTTCAAATGATAAAACAATAAATTAGATTTATTCTAAATTTCATTTTAAAATTTCAGATACTAATATGAAAAACATTATTTTACACCGTTGTATATTATTTTCAAAATAAAAATAAAGATGATAACCACATATTTCACAATTACAATTTCAAGTAATTTTTTTCCATTAGATTCTTTCCTATCAAAAACAAACTCTTTTGCATGTCAGTAAATGGGGAACTAGATAAATAATACATCATGTAATGGTATATATACAATATGGTGTTAAAAAGAATGAGAAAGATTTATAAGTGCTATTAGGGAAGGCGTGCCATGATATGCTCCAAGCAACAAACAAGGTGAACAAAACAATATGAATAATATTCTATCTATGTACTTTAAAGAAAGAAATATACATGCACTGGTATGAGCAGAATAAATTAGTGGAAAGATATACAAAAAAACTTCTAACAAGCATGGAAGTAGTACTGATGGTAAAGGGAATGGATGGGGATGAAGACTTTTACTTTTTGTTTTATATCTTCTTCTGTAGTTTGCATTTTTACCACGGTCTGTATTATCTCTTTTAAAAATAAATTAATTTTTTAAAAATAAATTGAGAACAGAATTTGGAAACAGGCTCATGAATAGAACAGTGTAACAGCTAAAACAAAACTACTGATTTTCCCTCTAAAAACCTACTTTCTCTTTCACCCACACGATGATTCTAGGTCCTTTCCTCATTTTCACTCT